ATACCAAATCTAACGGTCACCTTTACATATAACAATGACTAATACTTAGACTACAACTCAAAATACTCAAAATAGCCCTAGGTCAAACTTAGCCATATCCTGGTCAAAGTCAAAAGTCAATCGAGTCAACCCAGCTAAGTACACTGGGCGTACTCAACTCGTACGCACGACGTACTACACATTGACCAAAAATCGGGGAGCAAACCTTGTACATATAGTGTACCCTTTGGTATACCTGGCGTACGTATATACCACTCTTCCTTTCTAATAAGAGCTTAATCTCTTAAGCTCTTTCGTTCAAAATCTAGATCTAGTCCTCAAATGATGTCCTTAATCGTAAAGTTTTCAACTTTATGATCTTGCATGGCTATTAAGTGCTCAATACAAAAAACTCTAACTTCTTAACTCATTAAGATATCCTAGTCCATACATGGGGGAAAATAGGGACCAAGATTATATTTTTATGATTCTAAACATTCCAAAACATCTGAAAGGATAACTCAAATGAATTAGAGTAATGCATACTTAAATACATTAAGGTTATGGGACCAAAAAATGAACACAATCCATGGCTAGACAAGATCTAAGTAAAACTTCATCAAGATCAGAGCTTTTTATCTCCAATTGGTGCAAAATGGTGATATGCTCTTGTATTCAAAGTGCTTCACTCTTCTAAGATGGTCTCATCTTCCTTCTTTGTCCTTCAAGATCACTAAAATACACACTCAATGCTCAAATATGCTCAAAAATGGATTAGGGTTTACAAGAGTCGATATTAAGGGTGAAGGATGATGAAAGAAAGGTTTTTTGAGATATAATGGTGTTTAAATAGTGCACAAACCCTAAATATTAGGGTTTTGTTCTAGGCCACGTACGCCAGCGTACAATACATATGCCCAAGCGTACGTGATGAAAACGCACTTCATCTAAAAAAAATACTAAAAGGGACTAAATTGCAAAAGAATTACATACCAAAGGCATAAAATGGAATACATGGAAAAAAAATGTTACAACTCTCCCTCGCTTGAGCTAGACTTCGTCATTGAATTCTATTGCCACGAATAAATCAGAGTAGTGCTCTCACATCTCTACCTCGAGCTCCCAAGTCCATTCGGAACCTTTCTGATGTTGCCACTGGACCTTGACCAAAGACACCACTTTATTACGCAAGTCCTTCGTCTTCTTATCCAAGATCACCACTGGTCTCTCAAAATAATTCAGGCGATCATCAACTTGAATATCATCCAAAGGGACAACTGCATAATCATTGGCCACAAACTTCTGAAGCTAAGAAGCATGGAAAGTGTTGTGGATTTGACTGAGCTCGTCAGGAAAATCCAGTCTGTCTGTAAAGCTCTTCTATCGGTTGTGCGCGACCCGCAACCTGTCGCGCACCTACTGAATCAACATAGTAGTCTTGAGTACCACCTAAGTACTCCCCATGATCTGATGCCCGACCTCGCCCTAGCAAAACGGGGTCCTACACCTCCTCCCATACAACATCTCAAAAGGTGGTCGATCAAACCTTCTTTTGGAGCTTCTTTGGAGATGTATTGTAGGAAATCATCCCACAATATCTTCCCATAATTCAATGCATTTTCGGTGTAGATACTCCATATGATCCCCAAGAGCTTGATTCCCATATTATCGGTCCCTCCAGTCCTTCCTGAGAGGCGCCTAATCATGAAATGGCACACGAATTGCCAGACAGATGGTAACTGGTTCTTATTGAATTCACCAACACCTTTGAGCTTCTTTTAGTACCTCATCTGATTAAGGGTAGAGAACACATCGTTTGTGCTTGGGGAGTAAAACTTCGTTGATGGAAGAACCCTGAGATTAGAATCTTACTTTCTATTAACTTAGAAGCTTGCTTTCTATTAACTTAGCTTTCACAAGAATAAGAGAACCTATTCTTGGTGGTTTTGCATATTACAATCTAAGCCACATTTATGAATATGTATTTAGTAGATTTTGGGTTTAGAAGCTTTAGTCCAACATCGGTTTCAAATCCATAAAACATTAAGTAAGATGAGGATGGAGCCTTTCCATACTTAATCTTATAAAATGTATAATCTACTTATTAATTGGTATTTGTATTCAAGATACAATTACTCGTGATTGAAGTATTATCCCAAAAAGATTAAAGGATGATATTTCAACCGACTAGAAAGTAAATCATACCAAGTAAGATTTAATTCATCTTTTATTATCATTAAGGCCTTAGATGGTTCTTACCGGTTTGTATATCAACTTTTGAAATCTTCAACAAAGATTTTACAATTATGTTTTACCACGTAAAATCTAATTAAAACTACTATAGTTTTTAATAAAGTTGATTTGGTATCTTGTGCATAATCTCATACATTCATTAGAAATGAAGTCATACACCAAAGTATATATTTCATTAATTATTTTCTCAACACTTTAGTGAAAATATCATTAAGAATCCTTTACATATAAATAAGGTTCACATATGTCAAATAAACTACATTATTTTCCTTCAAAGATCCATTTCTTGAAGTTGAAATATGTGAATTCCATTTATATGATAAAGATAACAATATCAACGATGAGTTTAATTTAAAACAAGTTTAAATCAAAAGTGTTTGCATATAAAACTTAATTTTATCTATAAAAATGTTGATATTTACTTCACAATTCTATTAAGAGATCTAGTCTCATAAATAGAAGTTAATCATTTCAAAATATGAATATTATCGTTATGAAAAATGATTAAGTAAATTATCAAACATTTGAATAAAATAACCGAGACATCAGTTTAGACATGTTAAATTAAAACATACATTGTTCCAAAAAAAATATTGTTTTACATTACAAGTCATTTATATTCTAAGCATAAATAATAAATTAAACTCCTAGAGTGTAGTTCCAACTTGCTTGTGCTCAACCTTGTTACTCTTTAATAAATATTTGCAAGCCATTTACAAATATTAGATTAACATTTAAGTACCAAGTACCTAAGTGTTATATAAAAAGTATGAGTTTTATCTAGTAGATACAAGAAGTACTAATATCTTCCAAACTTTCTTTTCAAAGAAGAGGAGTAAATCCTCTTCCAATGTCTAGTTTCTACACAAAAGAAACAAGATCCATCTATGTGGGATTTAGTAGACTTCTTGGGCTTAAAGGTGTTCAATCCATAAAACATAGGCCTCCTGGATCACACAAGGTGATTCTTTTAGCCTTGCTTCATTCCAATGTTTAAACTAGATTTAAATAAAATATCACTGTATTTATTGGAATATTGCTTGACCTGTTATATCATCAGATATATATATATATATATATATGTTGTGTGTGTGTGTGTGTGTTAAATTATCCAAGACTTCCTAGAAGTCATGAATAACTATTCCTAGCTTTATGTTAGAAACATCTTAAGCATCACAGTGATGCCTTTACTAGGTATCATGTTCAGATTTAATTGTTCAAAGCAACTAGTTTAGGACTAGGACCTTTAAGTGTATACAATTTCATATCTCTTACATGATTGTCTCTTAAGATATGAACCCATTCATTGAAGTTTTATCTATTGAATGTTACTGTTTCATTTAGTCATTAAAGAAAAAGACAATTCATGATAATGAGAAAGGATTATTTAAATACAATATTGATTTAGTATTTTCAATATTTAATCTTCAATCATTAATACCCTTTTAGTTTCAAAGTTTCAAAAAACATTAATTACCAAAAGTACATTAATTACCAAAAGTCTAGGATCTAAGTTGCAAAATAGATAAATGGTTAGGTATCATTCATCCCATCCACTTGAATTCAACTCGGTAGATATTGATTATCAGTTATACCTCACTATATATTTCCTAGATTTATGGGATCGCTAATAACAAATTTAATTAGACATGTTTGATCCCATCTATGCCTCAGAACTCTCTTGCTTAGGTATCATTTATCACAAAAGATTTCCGATCAGATCGTGCAATTTGAAAAACTTGTATAATCGGTCTATAACTTGGTTATAGAAATTGCGAATACCCCCGACCATCAAAAGATAAAACTAAGCGGTTAGGTATCATTTATCACACTAGTGCATACAAGAGACGTGCGGGTGTTATTCAAAATGATTTCATAGATTTGATGTTTGTAAAAAGGGTCTTTATATATTTTATAATTCTAGTTTAAAAAACATATGATACCATGGTTATTACATGCATATAATAAACCATGATATAAATTTTCAAAAGAAAATCACTTTTAAAGGTTCTATAAAAAGCTAGTTTTATATATAATTTGACGCAATTAAATTTTAATAACCAGTATTAAGTTTGAATGCATTTGAAACTTTTATATCTATAATAAAACTTCATTTTATTACTTATATATTTGGAGTTTGTATAAGTTATAAAAATCACCATTTTAAAACTTATAATGGAGTATTTCAAAATTTGTCTTTACTAACAATTTTATAAAACCAGGTTTTATTTTAAAATAATAACTTGTTACATCTTATGTCTAATTTTGAATAACCCCCAAACTCCATGTGATGTTTATTTTGTACAAAATTATTTTAGCTTGTGAAAAACTAATTTATCAAACACACATAATAATTACATAAAATAAACAACACAAACACATATAAAAAGATACGTGCATAAACATAACAAACTAATGAGAATTTTATGAGCCAACACAAAATTGCCAAGTCTATTCCTAAAGGGACATGTAAGGGGATCAAAAAATTTCTTGTAATGTTGTTGAAGAAGCTCCCACTTGAGTAAACATCCATTGCTTGCAAAAGATTGGAAAAACTTCTTGAATGTTCAAATTCAGCAACTATCGCTAAAAGCCAACAACCCTTTGTGAACAACATTAGTGACACTTTTCAGAAAATGTCATTGAAAATCTTGCACACCTTTTAGACTTGAAAATTGCTCGTTT